ATAGAACACATAGATACAATTCCAGAAAATAACTATTTATTTTCAAGAACTTACCAATAATTTTTGGATCGGGCAACCAATATAAGAAGTATGACCGATTTTCGTACGACGTTTTATACATAGAAATCATGATGTCCCAAGTGTCAGCTAGAATTCAAACTATCTGACACTGAAGAATGGAATAAAAGGTTACTTTGAAGCTAAAGAAATTGCAGGTAAAGTTTCAACGTTTAAGCACCTTTCAAGAGCTTATAACCAACCATAGTTCTCTTATCCACAGCTCAAAATGGCTGTATAAACTTCGACGCCTTCAAATCTTTTGAAGATGTCCTTTTCTTTTTCTCCACATCGTTTTACGACAACTATTCAAGAGCTTTTTCAGGTTTTAATTCGACCGTTCAGCAGATATTTCCTTCCAGCTACTCGCATATTAATCGCATTATAGCCAGTTATTCTTACTAATTTCTCGAAAATTTCTGCTAGAACCACTGGTAGATAATAACGTGGCGAGAGGAGTAGAAGGTAATACTTTAAAGAATCACTTCAGTGCTGTATGGCAGAAGTTAGCGCCTGAGGTGGGGAAAGAGTATACTCTAAACATTTGGGTAAATAGGAACTTGTCTGAAACGCAGAACCTCCTCATGAACCATTTGGTTTTTCAAATTTGCAACACAATAATGCTATCTTTTTTCCTAGGAGTGCGATATAAATTAACAGACTGCTTAAGACCGCAGCTATGATTTTTGACGCTGCAGGTATAAGCTAAGCTAGCTAGGAACCTTGTTCGATATGTTATGTTGTCTCCATACTTAACAAGGATCGGATGATCGAGGTTTGGCGCAATTCCGTTGCGCCACAGTCAAACCTAGTTTAGCCAAAATGCGGTTACCATCTTTTCACTATGTATCACCGCCGACTTCTGGAAACACGACCTAACGAAAGAGAGCAAGCTAAAGACTGGACAATCTGCTGTAAAGTAGAAGAGCTGAAATTGGACTGCGGCCTCAACTCAACCGCGGTTCCCCTGATCAGCCAATTTTCGTGCAGTATGGAGGCACCCTCGCTTAGATTAAAAGCAATACCCTATGAAAAATGAAAGCTAAGTGCCTACCTCTGCACCCTCCGAAGAGCGATTTAGAATAAGATAAAACAACCTTACAAGAGATCAATCAAATTGTTAAAACATGTCTGGATGTAAAAACTTTAAGTCAATTATATCTTTGTACTGTTGAAGAATCTTTGAACCGCTATAACGGTAGAGTTGTTATCCAAACCTTCAAATCAAAAAATGTTTATTCAATTTTCCATTAAAAAAATTTCTCAACTTTACAATCTTGGAAAACTTTGAAAGCAAAAGTTGAAAGAGATAAAAACAAAAGCACCTTATGATCATCTCAGGTTAGCTTCCATGAGCGATCTATTCAATTGAGTTCACAGGGATGAGCAATTAAGAAGGCGCTGGCATTGGGCACAATATTGAGCTCAAAATGCAGAACAAAAGGCAAGAGAAACAGTGGTATCTCAATGTGAAAATTTCTGTGAAAAATTAACTTAAAACGAAGAAAAAATGGTTACAAAAAAAATGCAGTAATCATGAATATGAGAACAAGACTAGTGATATACAAACCGAGCAAAGAGAAATAAAT